AAGAAATACAGAAGAAACATTGGACTTTTATATATGATCAAATAATGAATACAAAGAAATTGAAGAATTGCCAGAAAGACTTACATGTGCGGTGGTAGGAAACCCTATGAAGAAACAATTATAAGAAAAAAGTTGTCGGTTGAAAGCTCTATGCAGTGGTAGCAAGCTCTCTTCTACGGTGGGAAAAAGAACGAAGAAAAGCTAGTTGAGTTTGATTAGGACTTTCTTTTTATTTATTTTACTCATAATTACTAAGTTACCCTTGCTTTTACGTGGATAACTGCCAAATGTATTGTTCTTGTGCTTGTGGAGTATCCATATTCATCAGTCGAAAAAACACATTTCCCGTACAGCATTCCCACTCTAGAAAAACATGTTCCCAACGTAAATATGGCACCAAATGTATTTCTATTCCACAAGAATGCCAGGAATGTGAGAATCTTTCTCACGGAATGATACCAAACAGAGAATTAGTTAATGGATCGAATTCAGATATACACCGATTTTATGCACCACAACCCAATTTGATCTATTATTTATATAAATTATATTATTATTATATTATCAAGTTTTTTATTACAATTCTAATTGAATTGGGTTCAAATTAGATATCCAATATGATATTCAAATTCAAATCAGACTCTTAAAAATCTGGCAGATTCTTATTAGATTCGAATCAATCAGATTTCTTATCGAATTAGATTGGATAAGATATACCCTGTACCGATTCTAATATGATCCATTTGCAGCGCTAGCACTGTTCTCCCAAATTGCATCAAGTGACATAAAAAAAAAGAACCCCAACAGTGTGGTTCATAATGGAAGAAATGCTAGAATTTGCTTGAGTGTTATGTTATGTACCATTCATAATGGATTAGATGCCTTTCTTCAAGATTAAGATGGCGTTTAATAATACTTTTTAGATGCAGATCGCTAAAATATTTGTGTATGCGTCTTATTTCATCATTTAAAATCAATATTTTAAAAACTGATTCGGAAATGGAACTATTTTGGTCACCGGTTTTTCGGTCAATGGTTCGAACGGATGGTTCGTTCTGACAGGAAAATTTAAAAAATAAATAATAATAATAATTAAAAAATAAAAAAAACAATCAAAAACCATTGAACGGGTCGACAGTTCAACCGCCCGGATCAACATTTTGTTGACTTTTTCAACGGTTTTTTATCAGATTCCGGGTTTATACAAAAACGGAACCGATTGCCTAGACGATTCCTACGCCAAACGGTCTGACAGTCTGAGTCAACAGCGGTTCAAAAACACTGTTTAAAATTATAAATACAAGCAGCTGATTTTGTACGACATATCGTGGGCACTTAATGTGATCAAACACATTTAAAACATGTATTAAATTTCTAAAATACCCCAATTAATTTCAAAATGACAAGCAATCCCACTTTATGAGATATTTCGAAACCTTAAAGCTCGAATGTTCTTCTTGAGCTCTCTCTATGTTGCCTCTTCTTCGATAAACATTGCGAGCATCAACAACGGTGGTAAGTGATTTTTAACTCATTCCCCTTTCTGTTTTTTTTTTTTTCATTTTCTCCTATTTGGTTCTACTCCTCCACATCACTTTCCTATTGAATGATGGTTGCAAACCACTTTCTTCTATGCCTCTAGTGATCACTGATTTTGTTTGTTTATGTTTAACTTCAATACTCATTTCCTTCAAATAACAAGTAAAAAGAAGTGAAGAATGATATATATTCATGGCAGCTGGACGAGGATGACCATTGATGTGCATCGACAACTTGGAACCTACCCACTTCAACCCAATGATCAAAATGTGTTGAAAGGAAAGGGGTTTGATTCATTTGTATTAATTCTAGCTTTTGATAAGCAAAAGGCTAAAAAAGAGGAGTTTCACAATAGTGATTAGTTAACTGGCAACCCAAAGACCAAGGCTATGTTTGGTTTGAAGGAAAAGGTAAGGAAAGAAAGAGAAAGAGAGGAAAACTAAAGATTTTCCTACATTTTCCTTCTAATCAAACATAGCCCAAAGAAAAGGGGCTTGACAGTAGCAAACCGACAACCAAAAATAGGGGCTTGGATGGTAATTGCTCTAGTGTGCAAAGCAAAATCCAACAAAATGGTTTCACTTCCATTCTTTAGTTTTTCTAAAATCTATATCCAATTAGTTTTTGGTTCCCCTTACTATAAAAGAATTTTCAATCATAATTATATCTCTATTCTATGATCTTCTTATTATTTTAGGTGTTATTGTTATTACATTTCTTTGTTGAAATTTTGGTAGAATGGTTTATTCTTGGGGCCACGTCAAAGCTAAAGGAATCGGTGCTGAAATTTCTGTTTGATTGGCCAATTTGGTGATTTTCAAGAAATCACCAAAAATTGATTCTTAAAATTGTCTATTTTTTTAGGGATCACCGTTTTTTTAGTGATTCTCATTTTTTTCCAATTGATTCCAATATTTTTAAAGATGACATGGCATCCGATGTGGCATTGTATAATAACTCCAATGCAAAAAATAATCAGCCCTTAAGAATAAGTGCCAAATGGACTTGAAGCAGATCTGTCAAAAATCGACTTACATGGAACAAATGATATCAAACAACTAAATTCATCAATTTTTGAAAAATCACCAATTTTTAAAAAAATTGGTAAAGAAGGCCCCATTTAGCATCATTCCAAAGAATCACTTTTGATGTTTTTTTGGATTCTTAGGATGAGAATGGTATTTAAACGGATCATTTTATTGTTTATTATTCGAAATGGGATGAGAAACTGGTTCGAGAAGAATGATTCTACGAAGTGAAAAATAAGACATAATGAATCAGCACCATGCCAAAAATCACTAAATTACCTCAAAACCAAGGTTTTAAAAACTGACCCAAAAACAGAACCACTTTGGCCTTTGGTTTTTGGGTCAGCAGTTCAACTTCCGGTTTGAGCGAGTCAAACTAGTAAGATTTAAAATAGTACAAAAGATTTGTATTCTGACTGTCAAATTAGGATATAGGTTAAAGTAGATTATATATACACTATTATTAGAGGGGGAGTGTGAGACTTTCAGAAGGGCAGCTGGTTAAAGTTGAGAAAGGAGGAGGAGGAGGAGGAGAGGAAGTGTCGGTGGTGTGCCGTGTTCACTATTAGTAGTTATTGCACTGTTTTCCTAAGGAGAAGAAGAAGAAGAAGAAGAAGAAGAAGAAGAAGAAGAAGAAGAAGAAGAAGAAGAAGAAGAAGAAGCTAATGGTATTTGTCATCATATTCATCATTACTACCACTGTAACACGGTTTACCCTCTTAGATCTCTTTCATCTCTCTAAATTTCTCTTAGATCCCAGATTAGTGTCTAATCTCTCATCTCTTGCATCGATGATTGATCAGTGTCTTAGGTGGCGTTTGATAAATCTGAAAAGTTAAAAGATATTAAAAGTGTCTGAAATTTGAAAAGAGGCATAGATGCTTTTCCACTTTTTAAAGGATCTGAACATATAATGTTGTTTGTGTTGGATCAATTGTGCAACATTTGAAATTGCTTTGTTTTACTATTTTACCCTTGAAATAGGCTATTTTGTAATTTTGAATGCAGTTAGCACTATTTCATATAAAATAATTTATCAAATTCATACAAAAAAATTAATAAAAATAATTAATAACTAATAATAAATATATTAAAAAAATAAAAATTAATAAAAATTAAAATAATCAATAAATAATTATTTAATTATTTAATTATTAATAATATTGAAATAACATGAATAAAAATAATAAAATAAATAATTGATAATAATTACTAAAAATAATTAATAATTATAAATAACATAATAAAAATAATTAATCACTGATAACAAAAATATTAATATGATTAAAATTTAATAAAATACAAATAATTGATAATTAATTAATTGTTATTAATATTTAATTATTTAGTTTTGTTTAATTCATTTTTTAGGAGAGAGAGAGAGAGAGAGAACTGCCACTGCAAGTTGCAACGGCGGTGATGAGAGACAAGGGGAGAGAGAGAGAACCACCTTGCAGTGGCGATGGTGGGAAGCGAGAAGACAAGGAGAGGGTGAGTGAGAGAAAGAGAGAGAGAACCACTTTGCAACAACAATGGTGGGAAGCGAGAAGACAAGGAGATAGAGATAGATAGATAGATAGATAGATAGATAGATAGATAGATAGATAGATAGATAGATAGATAGAGAGAGAGAGAGAGAGAGAGAGAGACCAAAAGAGTCTGAGTGCGCGAGAAGATAGGGGTAACGCACGTCATTTCCAAAATATTGGAGGGGTAACTTTGACTATGCACCGGCTCTGAAACGCGTCTGAGCGCATTAAGAGCCAGCCTAATCTCTAAAGTTTTCAGATCTGGAAACAAAATTCAGATCATGTTTAAGAGGAGAAACCAAACGAGTGTGAGGATTTGGAAAGCAACATTTTCAGATTCAAACCTCTAAAAAGTGCAATCAAACGCCTCCTTAGATTTGCAATTTTTTTGTTGTTTACAACTTAAAAAACTCAAAATCAAAATGGAAAACTAAAAACCCTAATTAATTTTAAGTATTGGAAATAATTGAACAAGTAAATGATATAAAAGGTTTTTTTTTCAATTTTTTTTTTTTATTTTAAAATAAATAAAAATTAGAATTAGTTTGAAAGCAAACCGAAAACCTGATCGGGTTGAACTGTTTAATGGTTAAACTGTTCGGGTCAGTGGTTTTTTTACCATTTCAACGTTTTTTGCAAAATAATGGTTCAAGGCCAAAACGGAACCAGTTCCCAGGCCAAACGGTTGGACCATCTGGTCCGGTCCGATTTTCAAAACAATTTTCGAAACACTCAACACTTGCGAGTTTCGAGTTAGTTTGGTAACTTGGTTTGCGATTTGACCTATGCCGACGTAAACCGGACCGAGTTGCATTGCTACACAGACCGGAGCAGTACCAGCTCAACATTCGGAAAGGGTAGAGACGGAAATTTCATTTTTGGGCTTACCCGCGAATCAGCGTTGGTGCGCTGTGCTCTTCCCGGCATGAGTATCGTATCGGTAGTTAAGAAAGAGTAAAGTGATCGCAGTTTTCCAAATCCGAGATGGCCGAATTGAACAATCGAACCGACGCTGTCGAAGAACGAGAAACGCAACCGCACGATAACCGCTTGAAGCACGCCTTTGACGCCGGCTTCTTATCGGGATCACATCCTCCCGACACCCCCCGTACCGTCGATGTCCATGAGGAGGAAGACCCAATTATTCGAGCGATTTCGGACTCGGAGAGTAGTGATTCTATCGGCGAGTCGAAATGGTGGGCCGACTTGGCTGCGAGCGTTCATGTGTTCACTGGATCTATGCTGAGGATGGAGCTTGCGGAGATGGAGATGATCAAGGCAAGGGAGGCTTGGCGGGTTGAAGCAGAGAGGCGCTTAATTGAATCGGAAGCCGAGATGACTCAGATGTTGCTGGAGACACAATTGCAGGTCGCCTCGTTTCTTTCGCAAAAGAATCGGAAGCGGAAGCGAAAGCGAGTCGAAGATGAAGACAGGTAGAACTCCAATCGCCTCCTTGTCATTGTGTTCTTTATTTTTAAATTAAACGATGACTTGGTCGATTTTTTCTTTTCCAATTCTAAACTTTCTGAAACCAGTATAAATATATAGCCTTGCCACGACTCGGAGTTTTCCAATGTCACAGGACCTCACTCCGTCTATACTCCTTTCAAGAGGATAGAAGTTCATGGCCAGCATGAACCATTACAAATTTTTCCAAAGATTTCTTTTTGGTATTTACGTTGTGCTTTTTCCCTAACTCTAGATTACACGTAATGTATAAATTATTGAACCACAAGTAATGCCTAGGAATAATTTGATTAATCTCTGAGCATGCAATAATAGAGTCGATTGTCATGACTGTAACATTACCATAAGTTCGAATTGTCAAAACTTGATAATCATCTTCTTTATGGTGCAAGAATATTTGGACCAGACCCTTTTTTGTGGTTTTGGACTAGTTTAAGAGCTAGTTCAAGTCTCTCTTTATGGGTTGGTCGTTCTAGTGACTACTTAATGAAGATAATGAATGCAGATGTGCAGTGTGACCTGGCTTACCTAGCTTAGCTTTATTGAAATTGAATTTTTAAGTTGCCTCACTGCATAATATTAAATCTAGCAGTTGAATTAGGTTACATGGTATCAATTGTCTCATTAATTTCCAATTAAGTAGCCGATATCTTCATAGAAGAGCGTTTTCTTTGAGTAAGTCCGCGTATATAGAGGAAGTAGGCTTGCTTTGGGTTCTTGTATGCATATGTTTTTAATCTGGATTTCCTGGCTTCCTGAAGCCAGAGCCTTTCTATTTTCTTGGCCTTGTTTTATTTTTGTTTAGCTTGAAAACCAATTGAAAGTCTTGTGTTTTGCTATCACGAAATTACTCCTTGATTAATAATAATATTGTCTTTGCTAATATAAAGCTGAAGTTGGAAACCTCATGTTTTATTCGGAAATGAAAAATCACATGTGTCATTGTTAAACCAGAAGACATACTAATCTCATAAATCAGAGGGTATTTAACAAGGGCAATATTTTCAGACATCAAATTTTCGTCTTACATAGTCAGAAGAACCTCTTAAGCAATGCAAATTGGTGTATCTATGGGAATCTTGGGGTGGTACTTGGCAATAAGAAAACTAAACTAAGATAGTTTGCTTGTGCACTTTTAGCATAATACTGTACCAATAACCAACAAGGACGAAGTTCAGAAAAGACAAGAGTTCACAAATAAACAGAAGATATGGTCCTCGATATTGTGGAAGGGTAAAACAGGGGTAACCAAACCCAAACAACTAGGATTACACTTTGTAAAATTGGAATGCAAATTAACAATAAAAAAAAAAAAAAAACTTGAAATGCACATTTACTTCAATCTTATTTGGGGGCAAAACACTGAGTATGTATATTTTCAAATTTATAAACAATTTCTTAAAAATAGATCTAGGCAGAACAACCCAAATGATCTTGGGTTTACCCATATAGGTTGTATCTATGCATTTTAACATGATATTTTATCAGTTACGTTTTAAGTTTTTTAACATGGTTTGTTGTACTTAACTACTCATATGAATTATTCCTAAATTCGGTTATTAGCTGATTAAGGATACTACTTAAAAAAAGTAAAGCAGTTTAGGAGGGAAAAACGACTTCAGCTTATGGATAACCTGATATCCTGGCCAAACAAACGCACTTATTGAACGTCATTATAGACTATGCATGTTACTGATTTGGCCCATAGTTGTACTTCCATATAAGTTATAATGTGATTATTTTTTCTTTTCATTATGAAAATGTTTATTATCATCATCATCTTTTGTGGTTAAGTTTGTTGTTTTGCCTTACTGTGATGACTCATGCATGTTATGAATTTTAGTTTGGATTGTCTATAAACGTACCAGCCTGCCAAGATGTAGCTTCCATGAACACAAGTTCTGTGCTGCTTATTCAACTTTTTCTCTTAGTTCCAGTCTGCGGTCGGTCCATCCTTTTTGAAATTCACAAATGACCCTTGGATATTCTTGATGCAGGCGTGATATTTGGCTGCTAGGGTTATTATGCAATTTGAACTATTGAAGTTCATGAAATTGACAATTTTACAAGTCAAATCATGCACAATTTTCATGAATGGATGCATGACTCAAGGGAACCTTGAATTGTTGCATATGCAAGGTATGCATCTGTATCAATAATTGGTTACTTTTGTGTTTGTGTTATTAGACACTCTGTAACTTTTGCCTTAGCATCGACCAAGAAACAAGGCATCAAAGTACAAAAACATTATCTGAAGTTCGAAATTGTGCAACTTCGTGATTAGTATCCTGTCTGTGGTAAACGTGAGAATTTACTCATGTAGGCCTAAAAGTTACAGCAGATTTGATTGACTTGCTTTAATATCATAAAATGACAGTTTTCTTTTCTTTTCTTTTCTTTTTTTTGTTGTTGTTTACTACAATCATTAATTATAGATGTTCTTAGAAAAATGAAATTAAAGTATACAAATTCCTCCGCTAGATATTGATGAATTTGTTATTTGTTATTGTTGATGCTCGGTTGGCCGAAGACAACATTGTAAATTCACTCCCTAAGTCCGAGGATGACCGAGATGCCCAAGGTCTGAGGTGTTTAGTATCCGAGGTAGGCAAGGATTATGGGTTTGATTCTGCAAGAAGAACAACGTCAGAGGCCTCGGGCCTTTTCGGACGGTCAAGTTAGTTGAGAGGTGAGATGGATGAGGTTTGAGGTGTAAGCATCCAGACGAGGTCACAAGAGGGCAAGTGATTCCAACAGTAAGAGAACTTGAGTATTGATCCTTTACCTGAAAGGGGGATATTTATATTTGCAATCGCTTGGAGGTAAGTGAGCTCAGACGGCGGGGATTGAGTCCATACGTGGGGTGCGTGGCCATCCTAGGCCTGCCACATACCCCCACGCCATTGGTTCCTTGATTCCGTCGAGCTGGGCAGTGTGCGCTCGCTGATTGGTTCAGCTCTGGCGTGCGCTGCCCAACACGTGGAAGTCCCGTGATTGGACGGCCATCTGCGCTTACATCAGTTATAATATCGATATTCATTTCATATAAAACCGATTATATTGAGCTGGTTGCATGCTAAAATTACGAATATCACATTTCAAATGCAAAACTCGTTAATTTTTATTAAAAAAGTGGTGGTACTTAGTTTAACGAAGCAAGAGACCATTAAATTTAATTCCTTATTATATGGCTGGTTAGATATGGTAGTATTTTTTTTCGGTAGTCAGGCATGGTATTTTTTAATGATGTCAAAAGCCATATCCTACTGCATGAGAAGCAGGATATCAATCTATTCACGATGAATTTTCTGCCCAAGGGAAATCAATCCATTACTCGCTGGTACCAATTCAGCTTCACCCCTTCTACCTCAAAGTGCCTTTAGCCTGCACCATGTCACCCTGTGAATCCTGATGAACAAAACTCCTATTAAGGTTCTTAGGGGCTGCTGACGCTCTTGAATCCCAGATAAAAAGTTTTGGCACTGTTGCACGTCTCATAATCAGAAGAAAGTTCCAGGCTTGATGCTAAATTGCTAACGAGGCCTTCAATCAGTGGTGGATTATATGTCATCGTAGCACATAAAAATAACATGGTGTTTCCAGGAGGTATAACTGCAAAGATCTTTCATGGCTCCATGGGATACTTGTAATTTGACAAATTGAGATCTGCTCGTCATCTCACACCAACCTCACAGGCACATCCCATTGTACATTAGGAACATTTCCAATGAATAATAACACAAAAGTATGAGAGATGTTTTTGATACATCATGGGATGTGCATGTGAGATTGGCATGAGGAGCACAGCTGAGCAGATCTGAACTCCAATTTGGCGGTCTTAAGAATTTTATTTTATTAATTTTTGATAATGGGCTACACGAGGGGTAACCCACTAGCCCTCCTCCAAACCCCTAGACCCCCCAGCCCAGGTGAAGGCGGGACTCAGATCCCATGCCTCCTCTACAACCAGATGGAGACTTTACCAGCAGACGAGCTGGTACCCTAAGAGATTACAGATTATTCATTCACTTTCAGTCTCAAGGATAGGAGAGGAAATTAGAACTCTTAAGATTTTTGTGGATATGAATTAAGCATTCTTATACGATACATGCAAAATCAATACGCTGGTAATGACGTACCAGAAAGTATTGATAGCTTTTTTTATTTCTTTGTTTTTTTTCAAATCTGGTTCAGAGAGGCCAGGCCGGTTTAAGGTTCATTCACCCTCTGAACTGGTCAAGACCCTGAACACTATCCAAGTATCAAAAAGCCTCCAATACAATACGTATCAACTGATATAGCCCGATATATATATATATCAATATTTTGAGCCTTGCTCTGGACTCTGAAAGTCGAACTCTTATTCCTTGTCACCGCTTAGGAGTTAATAGTATAAACTTAAGATGCCTTGACTCACGTCAATTTATCGAATCCCCACTTTCCCAGCACCGGCCTGTACTTTCAACAAGGTATTCGATGAACGGACACTTATCCGCACAATGGATAAGCCAAGTGACTTCTGCAACATCGCATAATAAACAATATAGAAGAAATTTATGAAGCTTCGTTTGTTTCAAGGGGTGGGGATTCGAAATTTTTTAATCTGAAAATATTTCATTCTCATCTTTTACCACCTTAAAGATGTTTTCTGCCCATTTTACAAGGAAACAATCACTGAAATCTGGAAATGAAACAATAGACCAACCGAAAAAAAATAAATAAATGATAACAGGTGATCTTAAAATAAAGGAGATCGACCATTTGCATAATCAAAAAAATTATCAGATAGATTGATCATAATATGATCTTGAACGAGAGGATTTATACAGGTTAGGCCTGTATAATCTGTATAATCTCTACAGCCAAATTCGACATCCAATACGATTTTCTCAGATTCAGATGAGTCATATACGATTTTCTTGATCGAATAATCTACTGGTTACTTCAAATGAATACGTCAATATATCTACAATGTTTTATTTTTTTAGTCAATGCAAACAAACCTCTAAAGAGTATCCAAAACTGATGGCCCCCAGAAAACCTAGATCCAGGGTCCATCCTACCTTCAGTTGAATGAAGCTTGTATTCCAAGTTTTCAACCTTTGTTGTAGACCTCCAGTTGCTGGCAAATCTAATAAGAATAAAATAAGAGACTGGACAATTTTTTTCCTCAATAATGTAGTAGGAATAGGAACTGAAAATAACAATTTTTTTTAAAAAACATGTTGGGTGATCTTACCTTTTTAACCTCGTATAATTTGTTTATGTACCACCTCTGTCAAAGAAATTCTAAGGGACTCTTTTTTGAGCGAGGGTTGGGGGTTTGGCTTTTCTTATCTGCAATACTAAGTAAAGCCTTCCGGCGGTTCAATGCACTCTCAATGTATTCCTGGACCGGTGGAAGACGCCCTTGCTGTGCATCACTTGGTACTTGGCCTCGAATTATCTATAAATCAAGCACGGTTTATTGATCAAGCCACAGAAGAAAGAAACAAAGTAAAAGTGATGAACAAAATTTATACCTTTGAAGCCCAATGTCTCTCTGCTTGTTGGCAAATATCCCTGATGTCTCTTCCTGACATTCTAAAAGTGGGAGGCATTGATTGCCATCAGAGATTGTGTTTTTTTTTTTTTCTTTTTGTCAGCAATATGAGTGCATTTAACAAGGGCCCATGATATAAAGATTCTATTCTCACCAAAGATACATTATCCATTTTACAATCAAGGTAACAGAAAAAATTACTAGCATTTTCAGACATATGGGATTGGATGCAAAGGAAACCTTGTCAACACCAAGGACCTTAGAGGAAGTAAAAAAATTGACCTATCATAACCCATCTGATTCCTAGATTAATCACCAGATACTTTTTAATTTACAAGGATCAACAAACAAATGTGAAGTACTGATTCATGGTCTCCCACTGCAAGTAGGACGAATTCAGTTCAGGCAGGTTATCAGTTGAGTTTAAAAGCCACACCACCCTAGGCCCACTACTTGGTGGGAGAATTTATTTGTAGAAAAAGGGGCCATTGCCCAAGGTTGGTCCTGCCTACCTGGGGTCTTTGGAGGGGAGGACCCAATTTGTCATTTCCTAGCACAAAGTGGTGATTTTCAAATATAAACCGGCATTATCACTATTGTCAGGCTGAGAGTCGCTGCTCAACCAAGCAATGGCCCCTTGAATGTATTTGTAGAGATATTTATTTTTTCCTCAAGGGGAGGTCACATGGTCAGGAAAAGGCTTTGCAAGCCCACAATTCCTAGATGCTTCTATTCAGAATATAGGTAAAGGGTATTCCAAAAGCTTACTCTTCTGTAACTGAAGCAAATTCAATCAACTCAGACTTTTTAAGGTGTTTTGCATACTGTGCTGCTATTGCCTCACGGTTATGTTGATCAGGTAGGCCGAAAGTAATCATGGAATCAAACCGACTGAGAAATCATATTAAGAGACATAATTAGTTACACAATATTAGTTTAGGTACAAACAAAATAAAGAACGAAGAAAGAAAATGCAAAGTTACCAATTTACCTTATCAGAGCAGGATCAAGGTCTTGCTTTCTATTCGTTGCAGCAATTACCACCACTCTCCTCTCCTGCTCAAATCCATCGATCTTCCCCCACAAAAATAAACAATGCATCAAGGACACCATAGAAATATCTCTGTGCCAGATTCATATAAATACTGCCTAAATGTGTTAACTGGATCTAATGTCACTTTATAAAGGTATTATAAAATTCTTGCCACCTTTTAAGATGGGAGAAATGAATGTTAGGTTTTTAAATAAAAAAAAAACCTGAATAATTACATTATCACATTCTGGCATCTGTGCAATACTGATAAAAAAGCCTAGCATTAAAGCAATGAAAGATATATCATCATACCTGTCGTAGTAATACTGATAATATCCTACGTGTAGCTTCATGCATTTCATTATCACGAGCAGCAGCAAAAGAATCTACCTATAGAATTGTGAACAAAAGTAAGAGGAAACAAATATATTTGAGGTCTCAATTACTATGCATAATACAAAATAACAAAAAAGGAATGTGAATGGTCTAACCGTAAGTGGAAATACCTCATCTAAAAAAATGATTGCACCATTAGGAAGGCCATTAGCAAGCGAAAAGACGGTCCCTAATAAGCGTTCACTTTCACCATAATATTTTGACATAACAACCTCAAGTGGCACATATAGCAAGGCGACACCCTGACATAGAAATTTGTTACTGAGAGTTGATTAAATTGCCTCATAAAATTGCACCATCCTGCTGCTTTAGGAAGAATAACTACACTGCAATAGCTTCTTCATTGTTTATTTAGGTCAACAAAACACATCCTCTATGCAAACAGATGAAGAATAGATAATACAGTATAGTTGTTTATTATTCTGTACTGTTTCATGATATACAGTTATTTACATTCTTTTTCGTTTAGTTCCTGAAGGGGCTATGTTGTACTTGTAAATACTTTTCCTTTTAATATAAATAGAACTTTCTGAGTGGGGTTTGACTCGCTTAGACACCCCATGCAACCTTCATTCCATATTGGACCTAGACGTATCTAAATGCAAATACACATGACATGCAATTAAACTCTACAAGGTTTGAATATAACCACATGCTATCTAAGATTTTATTTTTGTAGATTATGTCACAATGAGGACAAAATTAAATAAAAAGGTCAGAAATAAAACACTTAATCTGCATCACATCAGACAAGAGAGGAGATATCAAGGATAGCAGCTTGATAAGAGATCAACTGTGAAAGTACACCATTAAACTATGATCACCCAGTATTTTTTTTCTTCTCTTTTCTTTCACTTTTTTCTTTTCTTATTATTATTATCATTTTCTTTTTGCCGGGGGGAGGGGGGTGTCCAAGGGGAGGGAGGTTAATAAAAGCTTACCCACAAGGGAATAATATACTTGTCTTCAACCATTCCTTGCACAAAAAAATCCTCATAAAATTTTCATCAAGGGTATGCGGTTATTCTTAACTAATCCTAAGCAGTCAAAACCACTCATTTTAATATTCTTAACTAATCCTAATGGACACGATCATTAAAAATCAACAGAAGTAGTTTTCTGAAGCAAGGAAGTTTATCTAAATAAAATACTTCACATATTTGATTTAGATTGATAGTGAAAAAGAGATTGGAAATTATTATGGTCCAATAGGACTAAAGCTCTAAAATTTTCCATTAACGAGAGGAAAAAGAGAAAATCAGATTGCATGAAAGCTTCACATTCCATGTTCTGGGGAAAACTTTCCCTACACCCTCACATTAAAATGGGAAATAAAAGAAAGAATATGAAATATGAAATTCTAAATTCTCTTAAGCAGATTATTTTTACAAGAAGTTACAACTCCAATACAAGAATCAATATGGCCCCAAAACATTATGACCTATCAAAAATATAGACACGGCCAACAGCCAGACAAATACATGGGAAGATATTAGATTTTTTTGTGACAGATTGAACATTCTGAGTTGGTAACAAGTTTTAGTAAGAAGCATTAAATAAGATTAACATCATATAGGTATCTGAGTTTTTATGTGAGCAACATTGAACAGAAGCATAGGAAAAACAATGTGAAACACAGAAACAAACAAAACTAGTAGTTCAGCTGACTGAGAAGATCAAATATGAAGTGCAAAATGCTTACCGCTTGGTTAGCAATTACCCGAGCACAAGATGTCTTCCCTGTCCCTGAAAGTCATAGCACATTATGTATAAATTTGTTTGTCGTGCTGCAGCACTTAAAAGGCTATCAATCATAAACCAAAGTGTTCTACACTTTGGTCCTTCTCAAAAGAGTAGAAGTGTAGAACACCTGGATATGCTTAAATGCACTTGTACCAACAAGTTTTCATATTTGCAACTAATAGCAAGTTTGTGTATTACTACATCCAATTTTTTATTTCTCTACTGATAATAAGATAAATTCAGAATATATGGAACACAAAAACACTAAGAAATTTTGATGGCAGTAATAGGGAAAATCCAGGGCCCTCAGGAGTGGGAGGCATTTTCAGGAATGAAGCCCACGTAATTGCATTGTTCTCGGCTCCTATTGCCATTGGTGATTCTTTAAGGGCAGAGATAATGGCTATATTGAAAGGTGTGCAAAGAGCAAGGATATGAACGTGAATAAAATGATTATTGAAGGAAACTCACAACTGGTAATAGGGTAGCTGCAATTTATTATTATTATTATTTTTTATCAATAACAATTTCATTAATTCACCAAAGAAGTTACATAAGGAAGACAAACACACTTATCTTCCAAGTACAATCAAGAAAACAAAAGAATAGGTAGAGACAAAAAAATACAACTTAGCCCAAAACATTGAATCCCTTTCTGCCCCTTGTTTAGCTAAACCATCAGCTAGAAAATTGGTTGATCTTTTGATCCAGCACATTTTAACT